GGGGGGCGGGGTGGGCTTTGGGCAGCCCCAGTTGGCCCGGAGGAGAGGCGGTGGGTGCGCTGGCTGCCGGGGGAGGGGCGGGCAGACCCCCCACTCCCCCCGACCCGATTCCCGCGGATGTGGGCGCCGAGCAGCTGGGGGGGGGGGGGGGGGGGCTCCTTGGGGGTCTCTGGCGAAGTCACCCCTGGCCCAGCCAGGACTTAGCAAAAGGGGAGGGTCGGATATCTGGGGTTAGGAGAGCCTCGTGTCACGCGAGAGAGCCCGGAAAAGCGAGGGTTACTTGAAATTGACCGACTGATTGTCAATGGCATTTTCTTTCTTTCTTTCTTTCTTTCTTTCTTTCTTTCTTTCTTTCTTTCTTTCTTTCTTTCTTCCTTCCTTCCTTCATTTCTCTTTCTCCCCTCCTCCCTCCTTCCCTTCTCTTCTCATCTCTTCTCTTCTCCTCTCCTCTCCTCCCCTCCCCTTCCTCTCCCCTTCCCTTCCCTCCTCTTCCCTTCTCTTCTCTTCTCTTCTCTTCTCTTCCCTTCCCTTCCCTTCTCTCTTCCCTTCCCTTCCCTTCTCTCCTCTTCCCTTCCCTTCCCTCCCCTCCCCTCCCCTTCCCTTCCCTTCCCTACCCTACCCTACCCTACCCTACCCTACCCTACCTTATCCTATCCTATCCTATCCTATCCTATCCTATCCTATTAAAAGGCACTTTAAAATAATAGCCAAGAAGGATAATTTTTCCCCTCTGCAGGTTTTCCCTTTACCTGTCCACTCGTTTGCAGAATGCTCTTACTGAACGCCCCCTGTCCTTCAGCAGATTAGATGTTCCTCTGTCTGTCTGTGTGTGTGTGTGTGTGTGTGTGTGTGTATGTGTGTATGTGTGTGTGTGTGTGTTTTAGCAAATGAATCAGTATGGGGGGGAAAGGCCCATTATTAATAATTTTATGGCAGTGGTCTGGTTCCTACATATTGCTAAGCCACAGTTGGTTTAAACATGGTTTCTCATCTGAGGTTGCCCTATGAAGCCGTTGCTCCACCAAGGTGGCCATTTGACATCATATGAAAAGTCAACAATTGACACGTTGGCTTCATTTAAAGAATGCATCCTGTCCGGGTCTGGTTTACAAAAAGCAAATGTTTGCCAAAAAGAAAACAGTGTTCATAAATTTTTGCTTTTAAAACCAGGGAGGAATCAGAGTTGGAATTTTGCATCCAGACCTTAATGAAAAGGCCAAGGAACTTTTTGGCAGTGAGGTGAAAAAATTCCCCATAGAATTGTCATTTTTAAGAAGAAGCAAAACAATATAATAAAATGGGGAATTTGCCACTGTTAAATGGTTTGGTGGTTGAGATCTTCTCATCTTGTGACATTTACCTGATTTCAGAATCAAGACTCACAAGCTAATCATTAAACACACTTAAGTATTTTATGACCACAACCGTTTAAGATATATGTTGTAATGACTAGGCAGAGTTCTTTGATCATGAACAACTGAATCATGATGATCTTTATTGGAGTCTAGTTTTGCATTTATACACATTTTTAGTTATCCTCCATCACTGGTTAACTTTGGTTACTGCTTAACTTTCGTTACTGTTTAGCACAGTAATCCATACAATTAATTATCTCTAGTTAAAGTCTAACATAGGTTTACTTCCTCTCTCTAATCCTCCTTTAGATTAGTGACTTTGTTTGCCTGAGTTGTATTTGCTTGGAAACATTCTTTATCTGAGGTTGGCCATCCGAGATTGGAACATTCCTGCAATTACAACTCTACAGATATATCCTTTCACCTTTCCCCAGTTAGTGCAAAGTTATTATCTTTATCAGGCTTTATTTTCTCGGAGGATTTAAAATATAATCTGTTTCTAAATGATGCTTAGAGGTTGCAGTGGTGGGATTCAATTTTTTTTTACTACTGGTTCTGTGGGCGTGGCTTGGTGGGCATGGTGTGGCTTGGTGGGTGTGGCTTGGGGGGCATTGCAGGGAAAGATACTGTAAAATCCCCATTCCCTCCCCACCCCACTAACCTGCTTTCCAGCTCCATTACCCTGGGCAGGGCAACAAAAGAAGACCCAGCCAATCAGCTGGGATTCCGGAGGCGGAGAATAGATGGGGGTGGGGCCAGTCAGAGGTGGGATTTGACGGTTCTCTGAACCACTCAAAATTTCCGCTAGTGGTTCTCCAGAACCGGTCAGAACCTGCTGAATCCCACCTCTGCTTCTGAGCTTTCACACTTGGGCTGGAGCCCTTGTCCTCAAGGAACTTATCTCTAACCTTCTTCCAACTTAGGGAGAAGTTCCATGAAGATGGGCTCCAGAATGAGTCCAAAACCTCAGAAGACAAAACCTCTGGTCCTGTTGACCAACCCAGATTGGATCCTACAACATTATCCTTGGACACGTATATTGGGCCTTCAATCTAATTTTGCCCAACTATTTACAAAGTCTGCATTACTATTACTGTTAATCTTCTCATCACTCCTTATCACCCATCCCCTCCCACTTGTGATTGTAGGACTGTAACTTTGTCACCTGTATTCTTAATATCTATATTGACTGTTTCCTAGTATGATTCGATTGTTTATTGTACCCTCTGACTACGATTAAGTGTTGTACCTTATGATTCTTGACAAATATACTTTATTTTTTCTTTATGTACACTGAGAACATTTTCACCAAAGACAAATTCCTTGTGTGTTCAATCACACATGGCCAATAAAGAATTCTATTCTATTCTATTCTATTCTATTCTATTCTATTCTATTCTATTCTATTCTATTCCATTCCATTCCATTCTTCTATTCTATTCTATTCTATTCTATTCTATTCTATTCTATTCTATTCTATTCTATTCTATTCTATTCTATTCTATTCTATTCTATCCTATTCCATTCCATTCTCCTCTTCTATTCTATTCTATTCCATTCCAGTCCATTCCATTCCATTCTCCTATTCTATTCTATTCCACTCCACTCCACTCCACTCCACTCCACTCCACTCCACTCCACTCCACTCCATTCCATTCCATTCCATTCCATTCCATTCCATTCCATTCTATTCTATTCTATTCTATTCTATTCTATTCTATTCTATTCTATTCTATATTCTATATTCTATTATATTCTATTTTCATTCTTCATTGAATTAGGCAAAGATATTACTTGGCCCTGTTTCTGTCCAGTATTTCTTTTCTTTAGAAAGTGATGCACCATCGAAAATGGCTTGAAAAATGGCTGAAATCTTTTTCCATCTTTGTTTGGACTTTTTTTTAAAAAAAAAATCCTCTTCCCTCACACTTGTAAATTATTTAGAGTTTTTCCAAGGATTCACTCCTCATTCTAAAAAGCTGCAAACCCTAAAAAAAAAAGAGAAAGAAAAGAAACCAATGCAAATGGTTCACCCCTATTCTTGGTGGAGAATAAAAATTTGAATTTTAAGTTGTTGGCCAGCAAGGGAAGAGTCGGACATGAAACAAGACTGCAGGTTCTGTCTTAGGAAAAGAAGTGAAAGAAGGATTAAGGGGGGACCTGATAGCAGTGTTCCAATATCTCAGGGGCTGCCCCAAAGTAGAGGGAGTCAAGCTATTCTCCAAAGCACCTGAGGGCAGGACAAGAAGCAACGGGTGGAAACTAATCAAGGAGAGAAGCAACCTAGAACGAAGGAGGAATTTCCTGGCAGTTGGAACAATTAATCAATGGAACGACTTGCCACTAGAAGTTGTAAATGCTCCAACACTGGAAGTTTTTTAAAAGATGTTGGATTACCATTTGATTGAAATGATATGGGGTTCCCTGCCTGAGCAGTGGGTTGGGCTAGAAGACCTTCAGGGTCCCTTCCAATTCAATCTATTATTCTGTCCTATTTGCATTTATTTCCCCCCGCCCCCACAATTCAATCATGTCTAATTCTCAATACTTCCTAGACAAGTCCCTGCAGTCTTCTTGACAGTAATTTAATTTAATTTAAGTAGTTTGCCATTGCTTTTTTCCTAGGGCTGAGATAAAATGATTGGCCCAAGGCCATCCAGCTGGCTTCTTCTAAGGCAGGACTGGAACTCACAATCTCCCTTAACCATGTCACCAGTCTCTCTCTCGCTCCCTCTCCTCCCCCCCTCTTTCCCTCTCTCCCTCTCTCTTTCTCTTTGTAATTGCACATGCATAAATCCTTAATGGGGATTGCCTTTGTAATCTAACCTTTCTGCACACCAGCAATTATCCTGGTGCTTTTTAATTTTTTAATATGAAAGAGGAAATAGTGGGAAAAGAAGCCCTTTTACGTCCGAACTAGAACTCCCCTTCTGTGTATCATATCGAATTATTCAATTCAAATCTTAACCGAAGTGTCCAAATTAGTGCGTACGGTTTATACTTTTTAACTACGGTCGTTCCTCCAGGTGTGATCCTGGAAAGAAGCTTGTGCAATTGTAGAACGAAAAGCAAATTCTTCGTAACCGTGGATCCTTGAATTGTCAAGGAATTTCCAGGGCAGACTAGCTGATTTAATTTTGGTATGAGCAGCATTAAGGTTTCGTGTAAAACTGAACCTTCCTTAAATTTCTTTTTTTTTTCCCCTTTCTTTCTTTCTTTCTTTCAGGAAAACCGACCAGTTCCGGAACCTGGTCCTAATGGTAAGTTGGGATATTCACTTTTTGGAATTTCATCACTTCATTCTCAAGTCAACAGACATGTTGAAGGAAGGTAGGTGATGAACAGGTTTGGATGGTGAAAGTTGTGTTCCAGGGAACAATTGTTACTAAACCGGTCTCATTTATTTGCTAGATTTTATCTTCACCTTGTTTTATTTATTAGGCATTCTGCTGTGTAAATATTGTTCAGTGACATGTAAAAATAGGAAACATTTGAGGGCTTCCCCAAGGTGGGTTGTTTTTTTTTTGCAGATATTTCGTTAAGCAAACTGGGTAACATTATCAGTGCTAGCAATGAATTGTCTGCAAGAAAACAACCCAGCCAAGGACCCCTCACTTCAACCCCAAGCTACAAATATTCTTCTTTCTTGGTATTAATGTCTTGAGATTCTATACCATGCAAACAAAGCACATACAAAAAGAGGAGGCCAAAGAACAGGAGACAGACTCAGAAGAAGAGGAAGGGACTACATGAAATGCAGTCTTACGGCAGCATCAATTCTGGTTGAGGCAGCCAGAAGCACCAAAACCAGAACTTTGTATTTCTTTTGACATTCAAAGTGGAAGAGGAGGAGAGGAGGAGGAGGAGGAGGAGGAGGAGGAGGAGGAGGAAGAAGAAGAAGAATAAGAATAAGAAGAAGAAGAAGAAGAAGAAGAAGAAGAAGAAGAAGAAGAAGAAGAAGAAGAAGAAGAAGAAGAAGAAGAAGAAGAAGAATGTAGCTTTTCTTTAACAACAAAATATTGCAATTCCTTCCTCTTTTTCTAATCCAGTCCATTAGGGAGATGTTTGTCTGAGCTGCTTCCAGATGTTACCTGGATGTTCTGGACTTTAAAAAAAATGCTCCAGTCCCTTTTGCCAACACCTCCATATGTCCATCAGGGTCACCTTATGTCTTCAACTTAGATTTCAGCAAGGCATTCGACAAAGTAGACCACAACCTACTTCTTAGTAAAAGTAGAAAAAAGTGGACTAGATAGCACCACCACCACTAGATGGACTCGCAACTATCTGGCAAACCGTACTCAATGAGTAGTCCTTAATGGGTCTAAGTCTACATGGAGGGAAGTAAGCAGTGGGGTGCCACAAGGTTCTGTCTTAGGCCCAGTACTCTTCAGTACCTTCATTAACGACTTAGATGAGGGAATAGAAGGAGAATTTACCAAATTTGCAGATGATACTAAGCTGGCAGGAATAGCTAACACCCAAGAAGATAGGCTCAAGATCCAGATGGATCTTGACAGACTAGAACACTGGGCTTTATCTAACAAAATGAAATTCAATGTAGAGAAAAGTGAAGTCCTACACTTAGGCAAGAAAAACCAAAAGTACACATGTAGACTGGGTGAAACCAGGCTTAATAGCAGTAACTGGGAGAGGGATCTTGGAGTCTCAGTGGACAACCAGCTAAATAGGAGTCAGCAGTGTGCAGCAGCCACCAAAAAAGCTAATGCAATCCTAAGTTATATTAACAGAGGGATACAATCAGGATCAAGGGAAGTACTAATACCACTCTATAAAGCCTTAGTAAGACCACACCTAGAGTACTGCATCCAGTTTTGTTCATCACATTACAAAAAAGATGTTGAGACATCTAGCAAAAGTGCAGAGAAGAGCAACCAGGAGGATTAGGGGACTGGAGACTAAAACGTATGATGAACAGTTGCAGGAACTGGGCCTGGCTAGTCTAGTGAAGAGAAGGACCAGGGGAGACATGATAGCAGCCTTCCAATATTTGAGGGGCTGCCACAGAGAGGAGGAAGGGGTCAAGCTATTTTCTTATGCACCTGTAGGTCAGACAAGGAATGATGGATGGAAACTGAACAAGGAGAGATTCAACCTGGAAATAGGGAGAAACTTTCTGACAGTGAGAAAAATCAACCAGTGGAACAGAAGTTGCCCTCAGAAGTTGTGGGAGCGCAAGAGATTGGACTGCCATCTGTCAGAAATACTGCTTGGGTGGGGAGTTGGACTAGATAACCTGCAAGGTCCCTTCCAACTCTGATTATGTTATCTGTTAGCTCTACATATTTGTTTCTTTTATCATTATGATAAAAATTGCCCAAGCTCTGGACACCAAATGACCGGATTTAAGGTTCAGCTAGGAAACCATTTGCCTGGAGGAGTCCAGCAGCTTACATTGGTGTGAGCTCACCAAGTATGGCCTGAAATTATTAGTCCTGGGTACAGATATTGCAAAACCATGTTCTGATGTGACTCTTGTACATGATGGGCAATTTCCTTGATTATGTCTTTGTGCTCACCATGAATCAGTGTCTGGTAAATCGGAGTTGCCCCAGGGTTTGAGTTATCAGTTCTGGAATTTATAGGACACAGGTGGATTTTAGGGCATGATTTGATAGGCAATATGAGTAAAAGAAATATATCTAGGCCATGTATTTGGTTGTGTCTGATAATTGTATCTCTGTAATGTTCTGATGATCTCCTGCAGAACTGGGGAACGATTTCTGTAGAAATATTCTTATAGCTTTGTAAATATGTCACCCTTTTGCTATTTTCTTAGAACTGGATCGGATCTAGATCATTCTTTCAATTGACTCTTGAGATTTAATAAAAAGAAGGACTAGAGGGGACATGATAGCAGCGTCCTGATATCTCATGGGTTGCCACAAAGAAGAAGACGTCAACTTATTATCCAAAGCACCAGAAGGCAGGACAAGAAACAACGGATGGAAACTAATCAAGGAGAGAAGCAACCTAGAACTAAGGAGGAATTTCCTGACTGTTCGGACATTTAATCAGTGGAACAACTCGCATCCAGAAGTTGTGACTGCTCCATCACTGGAGGTTTTTAAGAAGAGATTGGACAACCATTTGTCTGAAATGGTAGAGGATTTCCTGCTTGTGCGGGGGGTTGGACTAGAAGACCTCCAAGGTTCCTTCCAAGTATATTATTCTGTTATTTGGATCAGTGGTTGCCAACCAGTGGGCTGGGGACCACTGGTGGTCTGTGAGAAAATTTTGGTGGTCCACAGAGAAATGTCACCCCCAGAGCACACCCCCCCCCCAAAGCAATTAATCCAGGCTGTGCGGGAACACAAGGGTGCGTCATCCACATGGCCTGCTCAGACCGGAAACCTTCCTTTTAGAAATTATTAAAGGTAGGATACCAAAAGAAATAAAATATTTATTGTTACATATCACAACAACTGCCAGAATAGCCTTTGCAGAGGTATGAGAAACCCCCAATATTCCTAAAGAAGAACTGATATTACAAAAAGTAACAGAAAGTGCCGAAATGAATATGTTAACGTTGAATTTGAAAGAAAGAGATGACTGATTATTACATAATCTGGAATAAATGGTGTGATTGGTTAGCAAGCAGAACTAAAAAAATAAGACAAGAAACTTAACTGTAAGAAACCTCAAGAATGTAAAATGTAAATTTGTAAATTATGTAAGAATATAGGAATAACGATAATAGTTAAAGTTATTAATTAATATTAGATAAATATAAATACAATGTGTTAAGATGTTTATGATAAGAACGTGTATAGATGTCAAGGATGTTGTTGAAACTATGATGCTTTATGTTGAAAATTAGAAACTCAATAAAAACATATTAAAAAAATTGTATTGAATCGAATCAAATAGAATAGAATCAAATAGAATAGAATAACAGAGTTGGAAGGCACCTTGGAGGTCTTCTAGTCCAACCCGCTGCTTAGGCAGGAAACCCTACACCACTTCAGACAAAGGGTTATCCAACATCTTCTTAAAAACCACAACTTCTGAAGGCAAGCTACTCCCCTGATTAATGGTTCTCACTGTCATGAAATTTCTCCTTAGTTCTAAGTTGCTTCTCTCCTTGATGAGTTTCCAACCTTCCACCCATTGCTTCTTCTCAAGTGCTTTGGAGAATAGTTTGACTCCCTCCCTCATTAGATGAACTAATTAACCACATTTCTGTTTCTTCTAAAATCTGCCCCTCTTTGCATTGTAAGTAGTAAGGGTTCTCAAAGGTGATTTTACTCTCTGATTTATCTCTTTCATAACAGAAGTGCTTTTGAAAATGCACTCCGTGGGAATCTGTGGGTCTGACGTCCACTACTGGCAACATGGACGAATTGGAAACTTCGTGGTGAAGTCTCCAATGGTGCTGGGCCACGAAGCTTCGGGAACTGTTGTGAAAGTGGGCTCTTCGGTAACCAAGTTAAAGAAAGGTGAGCTGAAGCTGTTCCCAAGTCCCCTCCATCTTTCCTCTTAGTATCTGAGAAGTAAGGATTGAACAGCATGTACAAACAGTTGGAGGTAGGGTCTTCCAGCTGCTTTTTCAATTGCTACCGATTTGGAGTAAATACAATTGGATTGTTGGGCTTTAGGATTAAAATCAGCTGTAAAAAATAGTGGAATCGAGAAAAACAATGGTTTTATTTTGGGCAGATTGGTTTATTTATTTTCTGCGGTGGTGGCTGTACTGGACTCTTTCATGTCCCTTTCTCTACAATCCCGCCCTCTGTCCCTGAACTTACAAACCATCCCACAAAATATTATATGGTCTTTGACTTTAAAAAAAGTTGGACAACCACCAGTTGTAGAAATGTTTATATACTGCCTTTAGATCCACCCTTTTTTCCCTTAATGTAGCAACAGGTCCATCTATCTTCTATCTGTCTCCTAATATCCTTTCTGTGAAATGTGACTCATCTTCACAGAAGAAGAATAGAGATTTTCGAAGATGTGCCTTGTCAGGTGGAACTGAGGGGAAGTTAATGCTAGGATTACACGATCTTGTGGGGCCTAGAGGAACAGCAAATCCAGAAGTTTCTAAGCTATATTTCCTTCTCTTCTGAGTTGACAATTCTTGTCATTTGATCCTTACCTAAGCTTGACTGTCCGTAATATGACTGGACTGCTCTAATGATTACCAGAAATGCTTTAGGGTTCTTAAGTTTCATCAGCTTTCAGGCGATAAATGTTTAATATTAATACGTAATAATTCGGAGTATCTGTTTAGAATTAAATGGTGTGAATGGGTCTCCTAGATACACAAATCTCTTCAGTGGGTCATTTTTCTTCCCCCTGCTTTCTCTCCTTCTTGCAACCTTGTGGCCTCTTTAGGTGATCGAGTAGCTATTGAGCCTGGTGTTCCTCGAGAAATTGACGAGTTCTGCAAGATTGGACGTTACAACCTCTCTCCGACCCTTTTCTTCTGTGCAACCCCTCCTGACGATGGGAACCTGTGCCGATATTACAAACACGATGCCAACTTTTGCTACAAGTTAGTTGCGATTTATTTTTATTTATTTTTTTATTTGTCAATTGCTTACAAGATAATAGGTATAAGTAAAAACATAGTTATGAATACATGGATACATATAAGAAAAATTAAAATATATATAAAAGAAACAATAGGACAGGGACAATAGGCACATTGGTGTGCTTATATGCGCCCCCTACAGACCTTTAGGAAAGTGGTGAGGTCAATAGTAGACAGTCTAAGGTTAAAGTTTTTGGGGTTTGGGGAAAAGAACCACAGAGTCAGGTAGAGTATTCCAGACATTGACCACTCTGTTGCTGAAGTCGTATTTCCTGCAATCAAGTTTGGTGCGATTAACCTTGAGTTTGTATCTATTGTTTGCTCTTGTGTTGTTATGGTTGAAGCTGAAGTATTCATTGACAGGTAGGACATTGCAATATATGATTTTATATACTATACTTAGATCGGACCGAAGGCGGTGTAGTTCTGTGTTTTGGGGGAAACCAGATCACGAAGCTAACCAATCGGAGGCACTGATGTAGGGTTTTCCCTGGGTTTAATCGATTTTGAGCAGCGTGCAGTCTCCCTGAACGGGTTAAATTTGGGTTACAAACGGACAGAATCTCAACCGCATAGTTGAGATTGAAACCTTAAATCATCCTAAATCACAACACAGCCGTACATAAACTGGGAATCTTTAACATTCAGAACCAAAGAATTAGCCCATAGTCTGAGGCTGAATCTTTACAAGCAAAGCAAATATTTTTTTGATCACAGCCTTTCCTTTCCCTAATGGATAGACATAGCACAATTCCAATTTTCTGCTCAAATCAGTGTTGTTTCCTCCCCCCATCATTTCAGTGGTCTGGAAGGAGGAAAAAAAACAATTTAATCACAAGATAGCAGTTTTTACACATATTTCTAAAGTGTTCAAAACCAGCAGCCTGTAAAATTTAGGGATTAACTAACACAGGAAGTAAAATGCTTGTTTAGTTCTGCAGAGGATGGAGAACTTAAAAACGATGACCAATATTTATTGATTGAAATGATTTATATGGCTGCTACATCCCACAGCAATGACCCTGGGCAGGGCACAGTGATTAAACAATTACAATTACAAAACAACATTCATTCATTTAAGGAGTGTTTTGAGTTCACAGAAGTAATTCTGACCACAACCAATCAACCAGTAGAGCTAATTCAATTTTCTGCTCTGATACTTGGGACAATATGTATGGATAAGTTTCAGATGTAACAGAGAGATTAGGTAATGAAGAAACAAAGAAACTCCTATAAAGGAGAAAATTTGTAGCTCTGGGTTGAAATGAAGGTGCTCTCTGAGGTTGCTTGTTTTCTTGCAGATGTTTCATTACCCTAACTTGGTAACATCATCGGACTGATGATGTTACCTACTTGGGTAATGAAACGTCTGGAAGAAAACAAGCAAACTCAGAGAGCATCCAAAACCCCTCAAAGAAATTCCTCCTCAAAAATGCATTTTTATAATCCTGCGAGAGGCAAAACGAGAGAATATTATTACACATTCCCTTTCCACCATTAATCCTTTTCCTCCGCAGTTCTTAAAAATGATTTGAAAGTTGTAATAATTTTTGAATATGTTTTGAATTTGGAATAGTTTTTGAACTCTTTGCATATTTCAGTAATTCAATGAATTTTTCCCCCTCCCAGATTGTCTAGACAGTTTTATTTTCTGGGCTCCAAAGTCCTGAGACAAGCAAAGAGGACTTTGACCATTTGTAGTTAGGAGACTGGGAGTTGTCAGCAAGGCTCTGTTACTGTTTTCCAAGGGACTGTTTTCAGACACTGGTGCCTGAACAAAAGATTAAGACTCCTCTTAAAATAGCAGAACTCATGTGCATACAACAGCAACACCCGCAGGCAGTTGGGACTGGCTGATCTAAAAGCGCGATAATGCCAGCAAGATTAACTACAGCTTTGAAATAAAGGAAGTAACAGTCTTACTCCACACCATTTGTTTGCAGAATCACTTGTGGTGGAGAGTTTTGAAGAAGTAATTGTATATGTCAGTTCTAGAAGGATTAAAGGATTGGCCTGAAATTCATCCCTTTTCAGAGGAGGTTATGAAACCTCTACTTACTGCTAATCAGTTACGGGATGAAGGACTGTCACCTAATGGTCTTTGACATGCTTACCTAGAAAAAAAAATATAGAATAGAGCTGGAAGGGATCTTGGAGGTCTTCTAGTCCAGCCCCCTGCTGAAGCAGGAAACCCAACACCATTTCAGACAAATAGCTGTCCAGTCTCTTCTTAAAAACTCCAGTGACGGAGCACCCATAACCTCTGAAGTCAAGCCATTCCAGTGGTTGATTGTCCTCACTGTTATGAAGTTTCTTCTTAATTCCAAGTTTTTTCTCTCCTTGATGAGTTTCTATTCCTTGTTTCTTGTCCTGCCCTTTGGGGCTTTGGAGAATAATTTGACCACCTCTTCTTTGTGGCAGCCTCTCAAGTTCTGAAATACTGCTCTCATGTCACCTATAATTCTTCTTTTATTTAGACTAGCTAGACCCAAATCCTGCAACTGTTCTTCATAAATTTCAGTTTCTGGATCTTTAATCATCTTAGTCGCTGTTCTCTGAACGTTTTCCAAAGTCTCAACATGTTTTAAGTAGTACGGTGATCAAAATTGGTTGCAGTATTCCAGGTGTGGTCTTACTAGGGTTTTGTAAAGCGGCACAAATACTTTGCGTGATCTTGATTCTATGTCTCTGTTTATACAATACCCAGAATTATATTAGCTTTTTTGGCTGCTGCTGCACATTGCTGGCTCATATTATTACATGATATGATATTGTAAATTTCTGTGTCAGAATTTTAATACTGCGACTCTATGTGACTTACAATATAATAAAAAGTTAAAAAGCACTAAAAACAATTAAAATTAGAATACGAAGATGAAAAGTTAAAAGAGGAAACAGTGGTGGGTAGCACAGAAAGAATAAAATAAACCAGGAGTTCTCCTTCCAAAGGAGCCTAAAATAGAATATATATTTCACACACACAAACACGGAGGGCCCAACATGTTTTGTAGTCAATATTATTCAACATTTTTATCAATCATCCAGATCAGGGTTCTCCAAATTTGGCAACTTTAAGACTGGTGGACTTCAACTCCCAGAATTCCTTTGCCAGCTGGGGAATTCTGGGAGTTGAAGTTTCCAGGTTTGGAGACCCCTGAAATAAATGGATCAACCTTTCCTCATCTGTTCTTTGCAGCTGTGTTGGAACGCCCAACTGCTTAGACGTGCCAAGGAATTTATTCCCCAATTATCCCTTGTCACTTAATGGTAGGTCCAGATGAGAATTTCAAGGAATGACAATTAACTAGCTAGGTAACAACTTACTTTAGCATCTTGAGTTTGTGCTTAATTTGTGTTAAATCATTGTTCTTAGGTTTTTAATGTTTATGGTTTAGACGTTTGGAGATGTGGAGACTCTGGTTTCTACTTCACACACACTTATGGAAGTTCTTTGGTCTTCTTGCAGACTTCCAGACAACGTCACCTTTGAGGAAGGAGCTCTCGTTGAACCGCTTTCAGTTGCAATTCATGCCTGTAGAAGAGCTGAGGTGACACTGGGGAGCAAAGTCTTCATTTGTGGTGCTGGTATGGAAGACTTCGACATTTCTTTGATTTTTCTAAAACGGATGTATTATATTAGTCCCCAAGGATGCTTCTTCCCAGTCACAAAAATCGCTTCCATCATCTCCATATCTGAATTGGAGGCCACTTTGGATGTGGCATCCACGTTTCTCTTCCAAAAAGATTCTGTCATTGCTTTTTTTTAGTAAAGCAAAGACCATCTTTACTGTGGTGCTTTTATTGTTTTCCACTAGTGCTCTTTTTATAATGTCGTTTTGTCCTTTAAAAATGGAAGACATTCCTTAGAAGTGCCTGTTGACTATGTCAAGGACCTTGGAGTTCTCATTTAGTTTAGTTTACTTTCTTTTCATTGCACCTTGTACAACGAAATCAAACACCACCTTCAGGGCACATGATGACCATGAAAATAAACACAAACACACATCCTTCACACTCCACACATGGAACCGAAAACCCGCAACACAACACCAACACTGCACTATATAGTAGAATTCAAAAGAGCTAGTGCCCTGGGATAGAAGCTGTTTTTCAGCCTATTTGTCCTTGTTTTTAATGTTCTGTACCGTCTGCCAGACGATAATAGTTCAAAAAAAGGATTCCCAGGATGAGATGGATCTTTGAGAATGTTTTGAACTTTCTTAAGGCAGCGGGAGCTATAAAGCTCTTCCAAAGAGGGGAGAGGGCAACCAGTGATCTTCTGGACAATACGTTAACCCTCTGGAGTGCTTTCCTATCTGCCACTGTGCAATTGGCAAACCATACGGTGGTGCAGTAGTTTAAAATGCTCTCTATGGTGCAGCGGTATAAGGTCACCAGCAGTTTTTCATTCAGTTCTTGTTTCCTGAGAAGTTTCAGGTAGTATAATCTCTGCTGGGCCCTTTTGACCAGGGCTGCAATGTGGGCACCCCAGGTCAGGTCCTCTTTTAGGGTAACACCCAGAAACTTAAAACTGGCCACTTGCTCCATTGCATTGATAAGCAAGGGCTGGATGTCTGATCTGTTCCTTCTATATCAAATGACCCACTGCCAAAAAGGCATTAAGAGTTGTTAATCTAATCTTACGAAGCTTCTCCTCCGGAAATATTGAATTGCTAACTAGAGCATACAAAACTTTTGCTAGACCAACACTCAAATACAGCCCATCAGTCTGGAATCTGCACTGTATAATCGGACATTAATACAATTGAGTGAGTCTAGAGGTATTTCATGAGAAGTGTACTACACTCCTCCGCTCGCAACAGAACACCCATATCACCAGGCTTGAGATTTTGGGATTGGACAACCTTGAACTACGCCATCTACGTTTGGACTTAAGCGCAGTACACAAAATTATCTGCTACAATGTCCTACCAGTCAATGACTACTTCAGCTTCAACCACAACAATACAAGAGCACACAACAGATGCAAACCCAGTGTAAACTGCTTCAAACTCTATTGCAGAAAGTAGGACTTCAGCAACAGAGTGGTCAATGCCTGGAATGCACTACCTGACTCTGTTGTTACATCCTCTAACCCCCACTCCTTTAACCTTAAACTAACCTCTATGGACCTCACCCCGTTCCTAAGAGGTATGTAAGGGGCGTGTGCATAAGTGCACCATGGTGCCTACCGTCCCTGTCCTATTGTCCCCATTTATTTGCACCTATTTCCTGTATTCTTACTCATGTTTATACTTATACCAATTATCTTGTAAGCGATTGACAAATCAAATGAATGAATGAATGAATGAATGAATGAATGAATGAATAAACTCTGTGCAACGAATAACCAGACTTCGTTCTGATGTTCCCCCATCCCTCTGTCTTCTTAGGACCTATAGGGCTTGTGACTTTGCTTATCGCTAAGGCGATGGGAGCAGCGCAAGTGGTGATTAGCGGTAAGATCAATTTACAATCTGGATGTCTTACTTTTGTGTGTATATTTGCAATTCGGCTTTCCAAGTTTACACGAGATACAGGAATAGTGTTATCTGGGTAAATGCAGAGCTATTAAATTGGACAAAGGAAGAAATATCATTCAAGACGAGAGGCAAATCTAGCAAGCACCAAGTTTTTTCTTCTTCTAAATCTTATTGATGTCTTTTGCATCGATCTTGAAGAACAACCGTTCAATATAAGTCTGGCATGACTTTTGGTGATATATATCTTTATATGTATGATATTCAGCTTTGTTCGGGTAGAAGAAGCCTGATGATGGCAGATGAGATTCTGCCGAAACGTTGCTACAACTTTAAAAGCACAACTACAATGACGTGGGAAAATACCCGAACAAAGCTGAATACCATACATGTAAGTACCCGTGAAAACTTAAGAAAACAAATATCTATATCTATATCTATATCTATATCTATATATTCATATATTCATATCATATCATATTTGTCCATTATATTTCATTTTCTTTAATTTACAAAACTTCTACTTTCATTCCTATAAAGCGTCAGCAATTTATTTTTTTTCCCCCTCGACTCTAGTCATTGATCCATTTTAGTCCAGACTTCATAGTACTCTGTCTCACCCTTATCCTTAATTTCTAGAGTTAGTCTCTCCATCTCTGCACAGATTAATATTTTCCTTATTATTCCGCTTTCTGCAGGGTTGTCTTCATTCTTTCCATTTTTCTTGATGGACTTCTCATCCAAATATAAACTCTGCTGATCTTGCTTTGGGTTTAGAGGTTATCTATATAGTGGGAGGCTTTGAACGTTGTTCTCTAGGAGGCACTTCATCGATTCTCCATCATAAGCCCACTTCCCGGTGATTGTGGAAAAGCAACATTTTGGTACTGCTATACAAGATACAGGAATGTTTACAATTTGGCAAGTTTAGGATGGGTGGACTTCAACCCTCAGAATTCCCCAGCCAGCATGGGGAGTTACTTTATTTTGCTTTTAAGATAACAGATAATCAGAGTTGGAAGGGACCTTGTAGGTCATCTAGTCCAACCCACCACCCAAGCGGGAGATCCTACACCATTTCTGACAAATGGCAGTCCTGTCCCTTCTTGAAAGTCTCAAGTGATGGTGCTCCAACAACTTCCGAGGGCAACTTCTGTTCCATTGGTTGATTGTTCTCACTGTCAGAAAGTTTCTCCTTATTTCCAGTTTAAATCTCGCCTTGTTCAGTTTCCATCCATTATTCCTTGTCTGGCCTACAAACGCTTTAGAAAATAGCTTGACCCCTTCCTCCTCTCTGTGGCAGCCCCTCAAATATTGGAAGACTGCTATCATTTCTACCCTGATCCTTCTCTTCACTAGACTAGCCAAGCCCAGTTCCTGCAACTATTCTTCCTATGTTTGAGTCTCCAGTCCCCTAATCATCCTAGTTGCTCTTCTCTGTACTTTTTCTAGAGTCTCAACATATTTTTTATAATGTGGTGACCAAAACTGAGTGCAGTATTCTAGGTGTGGTCTTACTAAGGCTTTATAGAGTGGTATTAGTACCTCACTTGATCTTGATTGTATCCCTGTTAATGCAATCTAGGATTGAATTTTCCTGAATTCTACTAGCCTTCTCCCACCTTCTCAGTATTTTTTTGGTCTTCTGAACGTTTTCATGGCAGAGCTGAGAGTTCTATTTACCTTGGGAAAGTGCTTTTGAGTAAACTCTTTAAAGATGATCCCTAAAATTCTGCTACAGTACATATCCAACTTATCCTAGCTTACGGACTTCTGCAGAGTTGAGGTTTTGGCTGAAGTGATTCCCTGAAACTTTGAGTCCTGAGTTATCAAAACCAGCACCCAAACCATAATTTTTAATGGAATAGAAGGTTATAGCAATTGAACAAATGAGGATAATAATCATGTCGACCGTGTTTAAGATACAGGACTTGCTTTTAATTCAATCTAAATATAAATGAAACCGAATTTGACTTTTGTTTTACTTCTGCTTAATTCTGGAGCCTGACCTTCCCATGTCAATGAAATATTTGCTTTGACATTGTGCGGCCCTGGGTAAAAATCTTATTTGTCCCTGGCTTTGCTTGGTCCTCACGTAAGTGTTTGTAGGAACATGAGCGCAAACACAACATCTTGGAATGCAAGAAATGCAGTCGTTCTCTGACGTTGGTTCAATGCTCAAATATATCCAAGGTAGGAACAATAGATTCTGTTCCTTCAGCTGATGAAATTTCTTGAGAATTTGCAGCGCCTTAAAGACTAACAGAGGAGCTGCTGCCAAAAGTCGCTCTAAATTAATTCTAATATGCCAGGATCATTCAAAAGTTGTTTATGTAGATCAGGTTCTGTCGACTTAAGGCAGAGGTCTCCAAACTTGGCAACTTTAAGACTTGTGGACTTCAACTCCCAGAATTCTCCAGCTGTGCAAAACGGAGTCACTGAATTGGTCGTAACACCGGTTGAATCCCACCCCTGTTCTGACCCAAACCTTGTTCCAAGTAAATAAACTCCAAACAGAGATAAAAGCAAAAATTTTTAATGCCTCTCTGTGAATTCTGTTGCTTCATGCTTAAAAGGCTATTAAAACTAATTGTCTCTGATAAGAACGAGCCTTGCCAAGGTTGTGCAAGGCTGCCAAGAACACTAGATTAAGTTGCCAAGAAATATTCCAAACAAAAAGTCTTCAATAACAAACCAGGATAGTTCGAACGTCCACAAGGCTTGAAGGGCAAGAACTTCTTTGCTTCCTACAAAGAATCCTGGTCTCTCAGGCTGGCTTTATCTCTTAAGGGAGGGGCCATTACCTTGCAGCCTTACTCCTGAGTCGCCCGTGCTGCTACAGCTGCTCTTTCCTTTGAGCAGCCCTGCGCACATGTGCACTGGGCACAGGCTCCTCGGGGACCTCTTCTTCACTGCTGCCAGACTCCATAATCTCCGAAGGCAGCACCCTACTCTCCGATAGTCCTGGCCCCATCCCTGCCTCACACGCAGGCCCCTCACCTGAGTCCTCCTCGCTCTCTGAGACCTCAGGCATCTGCACCTGTTGCCAGCGAACCACAACACTCTTTGATTTGGTCATACCAAGAGACGCCACCCCTCTCAGATAATAATTAAATGTGTTTTTTTTAATGATTGCTATGGATTTTTGCTTTCTTTGCCTATAGATTTGTCTGCTCCACGACTTGAGAAAGCCAAAGAAATCGGAGCGGATTCCACCATCCAGGTCAAGGGGCAGAGCCCTGAGGTGCTAGCCAGGATGGTGGAAAGCTTGTTGGGTTGTATGCCTGACATTACCTTGGAATGCACTGGGGCCGAATCCTGCATCCAGACTGGAATCTACGTGAGTGTTTCATAGCTTAATGTGATGACCCAGGGTGGGATACAAAACAAACACAGTCATAGAGAACAGGTGAAGCCCCTTTTATTCCTTCACTTTGCTTCCAAGCTCCGAATATCTTTGACAGAAGACAAAACAACGCCCACACAGTTACACGAAGAAGGAAAAAAAGCAACACAAACCAGGCAAGATAAGGGCTGAAGGATGTCTACAGATAACACACAGTGGGAAGGACCCCAAACTCAGAGAGGAACCATAAACTAGAGATATTTCCATGCTTTGTTTCCAGCATTCGCCCGTATGCATGTCCGTCCTCTTATTCAGTTGTCACAGCTGCAGCCCATGAAGAGGATCAAGGCCTTCTCCTCCCAAGTAGACCACGTCTCTCCCTGATCCTCTCCTCCCTGCGTGCCCTAGGATGGAGAGGGGATGGGCCCGGGTCCTCCTCTGACTGCTCAGCTGGCCTCTGCCCTTCCCCAGCCTCCTCCACAACATCCGGTGCCACACTTCCACTCCCTGTTGGCTGTTCCTCCTCTCCCTCAGAGTCCGTCTCCACCAGGAACATGACACGTAAAGGCATCAAGAATGAAGTTCAGTCTCTCTGTTGCGGGCAGTTGAGGAGGAGAGAATGAGGAAAATTCTAGAGAATGGGAAACCTGGATTGTTAAAATGGCCAACATCCTATGATAGATGCGCAAATACATTTTTTCATGCCTAACTCAAGACGTCACACCTACCTAATACTCCTCCTTCCTCCTGTTTTCTCACTAGTACAACTCCTTTGTAGACTTCCTGTAGATTGGAGAATCTGAAACCCACATTGGAGACTTCTTTGGTAGCTTCCAACTTGGGAGGCTTCAGGCATAGGATTCTACCGGTTCAGACCGGTTCAAGCGAACCGGATGTTAAAGTTACAGCTGGTTCGCCGAACTGGTATTTCAATCGACCACCTGGCAGCGAACCGGTTGCTGGGATTGTTGAATCCCACCCCTGGGAGGCTTGATAGATGAACCTTCTCAGTGGTGGCCTTTCAAATCACAGAGTTCCCTTTTTGGGTGGGTTTGTTGACATTGTTGCTGTTGGCCTTCAAGCCCTCATGGGACACCATAACGTTCACAGGGGAAACAAGGTGAAAAAGTGATGACCTGTGACACGATGGCATCATCACACAAGTGACGTGTCCTTCATACCTGATGTCAGTTTGATGTGATGAGGTGATGTTTGATATCAGTGTGGCTCATTCTGGAACTTCAGGAGGTTTGATGTCCTGATGTTTGACGCCATGGTGGTTTGTTATTGCTGGGTGATACTTTTTAGACTTTTCGTGGATCTGCTTTGCTCCCACACTTGCCAGGAAGGATTTTATCCTAGTAGTAGAGCGCAAGATTTGAATATCTGGGGTTCTAGGTTCTATCCTACTTTCTCCAAAAGGGACAGGAAAAACTCTGGCCTGAAATAGCAATCGTGGTGACAATCCTGGAATTGATGGGTGTTCTGGAGGAAATGGCATCTTCTTTAATTTCTTTACCCCATCTCAATTTTTGCTATTAGGTCTAGTTTAATGAAATGTATGCCTAGTTTAATGAAAACAAGGACTAGGGGTGACATGATAGCAGTATTCCAATATTTAAGGAGCTGCCACAAAAAGAAGGAGTCAAGCTATTCTCCAAGGCATCTAAAAGCATGACAAGAAGCAACTAATCAAGGAGAGGTCCAAGGAGAACTAAGGTGAAATTTCTTGACAGTTAGAAGAATTAAACAGTGGATGACTTGCCTCCAAAACTTGTGGGTGCCTCCAACACTCCATGTTTTTAAGAAGAGATTGGACAACCATTTGTCTGAAATGGTACATCAGGTCTCCGGCCTGAGCAGGGGGTTGGATTGGAAGACCTCCAAAGTCCCTTCCAACTCTGTTATTCTGTGATGGTAGATGGAAAGATAGGCGTGTTGACTTCTGGAGAAGTTGCTCCAAGACAAATCCCTCGTGTGTCCAATCACACTTGGCCAATAAATAATTTCTATTCTATTCTATTCTATTCTATTCTATTCTATTCTATTCTATTCTATTCTATTCTATTCTATTCTATTCTATTCTATTCTATTCCATTCCATTCCATTCCATTCCATTCCATTTCTCTTCTCTTCTCTTCTCTTCTCTTCTCTTCTCTTCTCTTCTCTTCTCTTCTCTTCTTTCTATTTCTTTTCTGTTTCTCTTCTCTTCTATTTCTCTTTTACTTCTCATTCTATTCTATTCTGTTCTGTTCTGTTCTGTTTTGTTCTGTTCTGTTCTGTTCCGTTCCGTTCCATTTCTCTTCTCTTCTCTTCTCTTCTCTTCTCTTCTCTTCTCTTCTCTTCTCTTCTCTTCTCTTCTCCTTCTCCTTCTCCTTCTCCTTCTCCTTCTCCTTCTCCTTCTCCTTCTCCTCCTTCTCCTTCTCCTCCTATTCCTACTCCTATTTCTACTTCTCTTCTCTTTTCTTCTACATGAACTTGGATCTCCTTATTTCTTCTCAGGCAACCCGTTCTGGTGGGACTCTAGTTTTGGTGGGTCTGGGCCCAGAAATGGTCACCTTGCCCATTGTGAATGCAGCGATGCGTGAGGTGGACATCCGTGGGATATTTAGATACTGCAATACGTAAGTATTACTCATGGATCTAGAGGAGCAAATAGAGACTTATTTTCCTCATACCTGGGGGCAGGGAGAATGATGTTTTATTGATCTTGGACACTGAATCAAGAACTGTGAATATGAGTCACTTGCCAAGGGACTGAATTTTGTTCACGTGATCATGGGGATATGGCAATGGTTGTAAGTGTGAAAAACGGTCATAACTCACTTTTTTCGGTGCCATTGTAACTTTGAACAGTCACTAAATGAATGGTTGTACCTGTATATTTGTATTTAGAAGGTCACATCACCTCTATTCTTGGTGGGTCTTGGAAATCTCTTTCTAAGAATAATCCTTGCCACAATCCAGCCGTTCAAATGGGTGGGATTTTACTGGTTCGAACCGGTTCTATAGAACTGGTTGTTAAGATTCTGTGCAGCTCGGAGAACTGGCAAATCGTTCCCCTGGCTGGTCCCGCCCCTCTCCGCCTGCCCCTCCCCACCCAGTCAGTCCAATCCCACCCCTGCATTCAAAATCAATTCCCCCTTTTGTCGTTTGCTTTCTTCGCAGGTGGCCCATGGCGATCGCCATGCTTGCATCGAAAAAAATCAACGTGCAGCCCCTGGTGACCCACCGTTTTCCCTTGGAAAAGGCAGAGGAAGCATTTGAGGCAACCAAGAAAGGGATCGGGATAAAAATTATGCTGAAATGTGACCCAAAGGATCAGAATCCCTAAAAAAAGCCAAGCCAAGCCATGGCGTCCCATTCTAGTTTCCTGTTAAAGAAAGAAAGTCCACAGAGAAGAAAATACAAACAAGGTGAATCGGAGCCTTGCATGGATTGATAAGGTGCAGTCTTGTCAAGGAAACAAACCTGATGCAAAATTATTTGGAAATTTGATGTACTTCAACCTAAAAGGAGACCTTGAATTTGGATGAATAAATGGCCGCTGTCATTACAAGTGAAATGTGTCACTGGAACCTGCGTACAACTGTCAAAGGAGGTCTCCGTGTTTGATTTTCACAGCTCTCTGGGTCCAAAAAAGGGGAGGGCAGGGCTTCCTAGGTCAGGTGTGAGGACTTAAGGTTCCACCTTAGCGTGCTCATTTGGCAAACGTGGATGTGTTTGGTCCATCAGGATCCATTCAGAATTTGAGAAAAGAGTCCTTCGTGATCGTTCTGATCCGCTGCTTGCAGACTTTGAAGCTACGACACACCCTTCCTATCAGTTCAGAAATTCCTGCAGGGGTTAGTATGAAGTTCAGTCTAGACCCAATTTACATGGAGACATAGGTACCTACCTATAAACATCTGCTGGGAGTTTTGGACTATAATCTTGTAAGATTTTCTAAAGTGTGAATGAATGGCACAGAAAGTAGGGCTATCAATTCTCCATTCCATCTGAAGAAATCTATCTTCCTTCCTTCCTTCCTTCCTTCCTTCCTTCCTTCCTTCCTTCCTTCCTTCCTTCCTTCCTTCCTTCCTTCCTTCCTTCCTTCCTTCCTCCTCCTCC